GCCGTGGTGAGTAACTGTAGGTAAAGTCGGCCCCGCTAGACTGCTCGTGGTGCTTTACAGCATATTAAAGACAATATGTGCTGGGGTCTGGGGGCCATCGGACCAAGCTGCATACAGCTATGGCCCTTTTCGTCGTCCCTTAATCGTAAATTTACACAAGAGTTTTCGGGCGTGTAATTGCATTTGAAAGGCATTATTCTCCCTAATGGCAATAACCCGCACCCCGCCGCAGGAATAAAGGTGAACACAGAACAGTTTGATTTACAACGGCGTTGTAACTCATCGAGTCGCAGCAATGAAACGCCCCCCCCCCTGCTCTCTCTCTCTCTCTCTCTCTCTCTCTCTCTCTCTTTGCGACAGCGGCCTGGCGCCAACGATTTGATTGCGAGCGTCGCTACAGTCCTCACAGGCTTGCTGTGCTAGCCGTTCTTGTAATCAGCGAGCGCATTCAAAGAGGCAGAGAAATACAGAGACAGAGAGAGATAGAAAGAGAGCGGCAGAGAGGCAGAGTTACACATAGAGAGAGAGAGAGAGAGAGAGAAAACACGTACGGCGTGCGGGAAAAATTGCTTCGGTACCATAAGCCTGTACATCACCAGCACCATGCCACCACACTCTGTCCCTCTGAAAAATTACGACATCAATCAAAGGTCACACGGACACACAAAAGAACCAGCTGTAGGCAGGGTGATTCGCGTTCGAAATAATACTTTGACGAAGAGTGTGAAAGGAAGAGCATTGTGATGTTCACCCAGTTGTGGGCGTACTTGTTCCCCACCCAGGACGTTTTGAAATTGTGTTACGAAGTCGTTGTCCTGCAGGTGAACTGAAAAATGCCTGCAGAGAACAGGCTCGTAATTCAAACTATGCTTTATCAAGCTTAAGAGGAATCTTACTCCCCGACGCAGACAGATTTTTTTTCGCTTTCTGCTCGCTTTCTATATTTGCGGAGGGTCACGCTGGGTGCGCGTCTTATAAAGTAACAGGTCGCCACGGTTCGGGGAGCTCCCGGGCGTTGGTTCGTTAAGGTTTACCACCGAACTAATAATTTACAATACAGAGACTGAGCTTCACAATGAGCTTGCAAACAATTTAGTTCGTTGACAATCAAAAAAGAATTTGGCTTCTGTGTGTTTGGATGACTTTTTTTCGCGATCGCTGCACCTTTTGCCGCAAAACCGCGCAAAACTCAACTCCTCCCCACGTGTAGGAGAGCCTTTTCCTCCCGCCCCGCCCGGGTCGCCCGCCTCCGGCCGCCCCTGCTTCCGCTGCCGGGGACTCCGGTATGCTGCGACATGGACCGACAAAATCCTCGGCATTCTTGTACTCGTCACGCGGCTGCAGTGCACCAGCCCGCGCCTCGCCCCGCCCCACTCCCTGAGCGCCAGCGGCACGGACCAGCATTCCATTAGTGGCAGTGCTACCTTGTCTTCTTTTCTTCCCTTTCGCCCGGTAGTTTTTCATCGTTTTGCTCTCATCTCATCCCACACCACCCTGCTGGCCTCTTCCTCTCCCCCCATTGCCTCCTTTCTCCTCTCGCCTCCCTCCCTCTTCCTCTCCCCCCCCCC